ATCACAAAAATTAGATTTATTAAATGACTTATAAATTTGCAATCTAATATGGTCACAAAATTTATATTTCTATTTGCTAATTCTCATATTTATGCAATTTTTGTACTCAAACTCATGGGAAATGCATGTCTCTAGCATCGTAAGCGTGTGCCAGCTTATTTGTTATGCTGTTACCCAATGACAGTCTTTCTAACAATGTTTTCATAGTGGGAAATTAAGGCGCTTTACAATTTTATGAGAATGAAACATAGGTGACTAACACAAAATGTATGTTTAAGAATATACTTCGAGTTTCAGTTAAAGTTTACTCACATCCATAGTCATAATCTGTTGTATTAGCTAATATGCATCTCAGGAGAAAATCATGCCATTCATGAATTCATTTGTAGCCAACCATGTTATCTTAAATTATCTTTGTACATTGTTTTTATATTTTTATTGTTTGACTATTAATTATTAACCTTTGCAAATAAACTGACCTGATTGTAAACAAATTGTCATGAACATGTATCCTAACATGTATAATTTATGTATACTGTGAACAATGTACATCTCTGGCTGCCACACAGGGATAACAATCTGTATGTCTATCTCAATACTGCATTGGTACTTGCATTGTTATGAAATGCAATGTAGTACATGTGACCTACCCCGTATCATCACCTCCAGTTACACAAGTATTGCTTGAGTTATCCCATGAACAATGTACATCTCTGGCTGCCACACAGGGATAACAATCTGTATGTCTATCTCAATACTGCATTGGTACTTGCATTGTTATGAAATGCAATGTAGTACATGTGACCTACCCCTTATCATCACCTCCAGTTACACAAGTACTGCTTTCTGTATCCCATGAACAGTGTGGATCTCTGGCTGTCACACAGGAATAACAATTAGTATGTCTTTCACAATACTGCATAGGTACTTGTATTACTTGGTCATCAAAGGCAAGATACAGAGACTGTAAAGTTTCTGAGAGCTTCATTAATGGGACAGGTTTAGCTTCCTGAAAACAAGAAAATCAATCAAGGATCATTAAAATTATATCTAGGACATTTTTTCAATAAATCTTGATTAATTATGAGGGCATGACTATCAACTATTGGTTAGTTAATATGATGAAATATAAAATTACCAAATGATCGGGCTAATGAATACTGTAAATGGTTCTTCATTGCAAATGAAAGAAACAGATTTCTTACATATATGATGCAGAAAACTCAAGATAGCTAAGCTAAGGGCCCCCAGAGTTAAGCTACCTGTAAGAGCCTTGGTAAATCCCTATGAAGCTCAACTCCACCTAAAGTGCAGTAGCACTGATAACAGGTGCTGTCAAGAGAAAAGTCTTAGAGGTATTTAGGATGTGGGGAGTCAACATTTGAGTATGCAGGTTGATTGTCTCAATTTTTGTGAACCCATCTGGAAAGTAGGGTACAACTCATTTTTGACTGTTGTTTCCCCTACATGGTTAGTGAACCTCTGAGCTTGATTAAACCTAGACACAAATGCACGCTTCTGGTATATGGACAAGTGCAAACATTGGGCACAGGGTCTGCTGTTCTCTGTTGTACCAGGAGCCAGATTCAACATTTGGATGCATATAGGGGAAGTCGGTTCATCAGGTGTTAATTGGTTCTTGGCCCCAAGGAAGTAGTTAGTCCAGGTGTGTGAGTCAGCCTGAAAGACTGCTACATTATCAGTGAAAAAAATAACTGTTTAAAGCCAAGGAGACCAGAAATAGGTTCTTTCTCATAATGTGGCACATGTTGGTGTAGCCAACTTTGACCGCCCCCACAGCGTAATGTGCGACAGTCCCTTGAGCAGTATTTTAATGTTGTCATTTTTGGCAATGTTTCTACCCAAATGATGCTATTTCTGATGGACTGGAGCATGGTGTTTACTGGTCCTTCTGAAAAACCCTGTGCTGATCTAAGTGTTAAGATAGCCTGTACACATGTAGGTGAAACAGCACCAATGCAGACATATTCGACCGGGGAGCCGACAGTATTGAGTCAAGGGTAGTACCCTCAGCTGGTCTATTAGTAGTGACTAAGAGAGGAGTTTCCACCCTTGACTTGGCTTGGCTTGAGCAGTGCTTCCAGTGTCATTTGTGTGTCATGTGTCGCTAATATCAGTGACACTGGCGAAATGCATGTGCATCAATGCTGGATTTTACAACCCATGCCAGTGCTGTCTGATGGAGCAAACAAGGATATACTTAATCTATGTTCAGTGATATAACATTCAAAATAATCAGAAATAGTACAGATAAACCAACTAACCAAAGATGGCAATACTTAGATGACGGTCACACAGAAGGAAGTGTAATTAGGAGTTTATTTAAGAATTGGCTTAATATCAATATACATTATACCCATTACTTTGCTGCAACATAATTTTTTTTGTTCCTTTCTGTAGTTGCTTATCCCTCTTTTCTAGGGTTATAGATAAATATCTAACTAAAACATATACTAGTAGTGATTGGTGTGACATCCTAAACTATAGTTCATACATCCATCAATGCTATATCCCAATGATGACTGCAAATTAGTTGACAAACTATTCTCAATATGTTAAAAAATCTAGCAGTACAATATGCTTCAATTCTCAACATAGTGTTCATCTCTTAAAGATTGTGAAATTATAGACTCAAACAAACCTCTGTCACATAGGTTTCTTCAATAACATATTCATCATCAAAAAGAACTTTCAAAATACTTCCTCGATCTGAAAAAAACAAAATATGATAGAGATTATGTAAACAAGTTATTGTATACAGTCCCTGTAGCAATTAGGGGAGAAAGTTATTCATGCCTAAGATGAAGCTATATGGTCAAAAAGCAAGATGGCCACAAGTTATGAACATGTATCCAATTGAATACGCAAATCAGTGGTGACCAGATAAATTGTTTATGAATGGATTTGTAGTGTCATATGGCCAGTAATTGAGAGTGAATAGACTAATCCAGCATAAACAAATTAAACAGATTTATTAAATTTCTATTTGCTAATTCTCATATTTTTGCAGTTTTTATATCAAAACTCAAGTAAAATGTCTCTAGTATCATACCTGTGTGTCAGCTTATTTGTTATGGAGTAACACAATGACACTCTTTGTTTTCATGGTGGGAAATTAAGGCACTTAACAATTTAATGAGATTAAAAGCACAAGTCAAACATGAACATGTATAACTTGGAGTGTCAGTTAAAGTTTACTCACACCCATAGTTGTAATCTGTTGTACAAGCTAATATGCATCTCAGAAGGAAATCTTGCCATTGCCTATCCAATTAAAACTAGACTGATACTCATGTTATGCTAAATGATCTATGTACATTTTCTGTTAATGTTTTTTTTTATTATTATTTTGATTTTTGACTATGAACATTTGATGAAATAAGTTACACAATAATAATGAATCAGTGTTTTTTAATGATTTAAAATTAAATGCATGTTGCTCACTCTCTTTAACAGTTTCTAACAAATTATTTTAACATAAAATTCAGACACCTGTATATATATTTGTAAATGAAAAAAACAAAAAAACAATCCTATGTTAAAATG